GCGCCCAAGAGCGTGGAAGCCTAGAACATCCAGCCTGGAATACTAAGAACACCACAGCCCAAAATTAAGAATTGCGGTGCTGGGTTTGTGCTGTTGTAAAACACGGGGATTGTTATTGATTGTTATGTTGTACACACATGTATTTGAGCTTTACCACTACATACACGTCTGTCATGCACAATACTCAATCTGAGGACAACATGCTGTTTCGCTCATCAATGCAGCACAGAGAAAATGAGGCAGATGAATGTCCTGCTAGGGAACATCGAATACTGTAAGACATGTTATTATAACGAGTCGCAAATTTAACGATTGTCCAAAATTCATAAGTTAACGAGAAGATATGTTAAACGACCTTGCAGTATTCCGGCCTATCCACACACAACATATATGAAGCAGTACGGCCTCAACGGATCTTATTATAACGAAGAAATGTCATCCGTTAACTTAAAGCGTTCGATTTACTTTCTCGTTATATATACATGTCTTACAGTACAGGTATAGAATCATGCCTTGCAGATCTCGTTACGGCCCCTTCGATGCATGTTTGAACATTAGATGGCTGTGTAGCTTCAGTTATCTCGGAATATGTTATCCAGCAGCAACAACGTTGGGCACCGATTAACTGACACACACCTATTCACTATAATGAGTATGCGTTGGAACACTTTACCCCGAGTCATACTATAGCAGTGAATGCCATGCATGGGTTTACCTCACACACTGAATTTCATAATTTGACATCCAAATCACAGAAGAGTGGTGTTCCAAACTTTACGTAATTGCACTCCATGTCCTGCGAGCTACAGTAGAATAACTTTAATAGAATACTTCTTATAGCACGTTCTTAGAAACAAATCGTATAGGTTCGAGGCTGTCAACCCAGACATTTGTGATTTCACAGCCATAGATGTTACCAGTCACGTCACTGTATACAGTAGTTATGCAGAAGAAAATACTAGGAACTCTTTGTGGAAGAGCTGTGCCAAAATGTGTACAGTACAGTAAATTATTAAAAAGAGCGAAAAGCAGTGACACGGCTGTGCATGATGTAGATCTACTCGTACCAGTAAGTACAGTGCACCAGTGAAACTGTTGGTGTAGTACCGGTATACTACTATAATTATGGCATGGCCCATGCCACTACAATCTATTTGCAGTGGGCCGCAGTAGGCCAGTGCAACAGAAAGCAATTCAGTAGCTGTGTGCAATGTGAACATCTATGACATGCAAGTAAACTGCCATACAGCACAATCGATTACTCTCAGCCCACATAAGTACAATGTAGGCCAATCAGTAATATAGATACATAGAGCACACTCTACATCATACATAGTTAGCACCAAATCTATATTGTCGATGTACTTTGCAATGACGAAATGATGGCAAGCGTGCTTGATTCATCATAATACTGCCTTGAACTTGGGTGGAAGTTAGTTTTAAGTTCAGTGGTCGAGGAAAGCAGAGCTGCTCCAGCTTTCAGAATCCTGCATGAAAAAGGCAGAAAGCAAATGTAGGTATAATAGTAGCAAGCTGACGTAAAGAGCCTGTCTTTCAATACAATAATTCTATCCACTGCATGGACAGACATGGTGCTTCATTCACCTCTGTTTCTTGCTTTCTCAGAAAACCTACTTCCTCCTTCTGCCATGTAGCTCATGACATACATTTTCTTTACGCCTTTCAGCCGTGGTCGACTTTCGCCCCTCCTGTTTGATTGGCAATTGCAGTCAACCTGGGGAATACTGACCCTCGATTGTGAATGAGAAAAGTGTCGCTATTGGTGTATTGTTGTTACTCGTGAGGTTGGAAGTATGCAATCAAATGGTCACTAGATCTGAAGATTGTGTCGTTATTTGCGAGTTGTTTTGTAAACCCGAGGTACATTATTCACAAGGTGGATTGTACATGCTATGGGATGTAGAATAACTAACCAAACAAGAATGATGTAACAATGATTTGAGTCCATATCCAATTGGATGAACCTAGAGTGCATGATCCATTCCAGAAAGGCGATTTCAGTGAGTCTTGAATTGTCAGCAGCATCATACTTCCATTGAGCTATTTTTTCTTTTTCGAAACGACCCTCTCTTTTCATGCATGCCACTGATCTTCACTGTATACATGTGCATGTATACTGTACTGTAGTCTGTACAGTCAACTAGTCATGTTCCACTTGGCTTCCATAGGTGCAACTATGCTTACGGTAAGTGTCACTACAAGTGCATAGTAGCCCCCCTCCGGGAGTGCGCGTGAACAGGAACTGTGAACTGGTAAAAGAATCATTCGACACCTTCGTTCGTTTCGATGGAGAAGGTTCATTTGGCAAATTGAGGCCTTCGTTCCACCCCTAGCCCCAGGAGCGAAATTTTCACTCCTTGGCTGCCTGTTTGAGCCGTCTTTGTGGAAGGGTTGATTTATGCATGCCTGCATATAGACCTTATTCGATAAACGTCACAATCACGTGAACCGGGGTCCCGGGAACCAGGGAGCGGCAAGAGACCTGCACTCAGTGCACAGAGGACTCGGCGTGGGAACATAGGAGTAGAAAAATACCGGTATTTTACTACTCCCTTGTACGAACTGGGCCTTTCTTGCCACTTGTTTCACGTATGCGTGCCCCAGCTTACGACAAATCCCTGGAGGCGAGTCCAAAAATCATGTTATCGAATAAGGTCTATAGAATTGTTGATCTAGACGTTTGGGTTTAACAGAGCAAGCCTGTGATTAAGAGTTGCACAGAACACAGATCACGTAGTGTTCTGGAGATTTACACAATTGTGGTGTTCTTGTTAGTTACGGCCCTAGGATTCCCTTTTAATGTCTCAATGTCACTTGGTCTATAGTACTAGACTTTTCATGCTTCGTAAGCACGGTGAGTGCAACAGTCCACAGTGTATGGTTTGGCGGAAGGTCAAAGTCACACCTGATCGATTTGCTCTTACATGTGCACATTCACATCTTAGCTGATAGATACGCAAGGCTACGTGCTTTGTCTTTTGCTACATTTATTGGAGTACGAGACGCTCATATTGCGGTTTCTCCTTTGTACGCTATGTAGTCGGTCCAGTGATTTCGTGATAGCACACGCGATCGCATTTCCACTGTACTTTCATTTGTTTGCAGCAGAACTAAGCGGCACGCGCCGTTTGGTCTCATTCTTGTCGCTACTCGCTTCTTTCGCGTATAAATAGTGGATCGATAATCGATATTCACTTTGAAGTATTCGGTTTTCGTTCAGTCTTATCGGTTATTATATTAGTTCCTTTTAGTTCTTCTAGTTGCTTTTTAGGACTTAGCTTTTCTTTGAAGAGAAGTCGTAATTTGCATAAGCAGTTCGAATAAAGAAGTTCAAACCTAGATTCCTCGTGAACACGTAGAACTACCCAATATGGGGTCAAAACTCACAACGTTTTGGGTACTTTGGTCTCATGTCGTCTCCCCACGTGCTATGAATCCCTGATGCACATGTATCTACATATACAATGTAACCGTAACTCTACCAATGTTGCGGACGATGACCCCCCCCCCCGGCATACAGAAAGTTGCTATGTCCTGGCCCTCATACAGCATTGGGGAGGCACTGAATCACTTTTGCAAAAAGGACTAGTGGAAAGTGGCACTATAAATTTTGTATTCCCAGAAAAGTGGCGTTCCAGCCGAGTTTATCTTTTAATTTATCGGTTTTCTCGGTTGGGATTTCATACCTGACAACCATCCCGATTTGGCCGGGACCGTCCCGACATCGAGGGCGGTAATAGGCACCCAAAAGTGCATTAGTTCCATGCCTCACCGCGAGCTACATTTGTATACATTTTCATGCCTAGGTATGTCATTCGATCTCAGGTTTGCAAAGGCTGGCAGGTATGGGATTTGTAGTGTGACCAGTTCTGACTATTGGCACCTGCTGCGCAGAAGTGTCATTCCTACATCTTGGCTGCAAACATACCCCCCCCCCCCCCCCCACACACACACACATACACACACACCACCAACAATGTTGGATCCTATTTACAGGACCTCACTCTATATGAAAGTGTAGCAGAGGCACTGCCAAAGTATAAAAACAACATTTGAAATGCAAGCTCCATGGGTGCATGCATGGAGGGCATGGGAAAGAGACGGAGAGGGTGAAAGCGAAGGAAATTTGTTCCGAAATCAAGAGAATCCGAGGAACCCTTGCTGCATTCTTCAGTACGATAACGTCAGTGGGTGCATCTCAGATGTGTTGTGTGCCCAGACATACAAGTAGCACTAACCTGAGCATGAGAGCTGCTTGTCATCATCGTGGTCAGGAAAACGAAAGGACGAACGTAGAAGATTGCTGACCATGACGAACAACAGTGCATATCCAGACGACAGACGGCTTGCCAGAATCAGTCTGGTGCATCTTCAGGAATCTTCTTTCCTAATCGCATTCAGCAGTCAGCTTCGAGGTCAAGAACGCGATGATATTATCAGAAGGAATAATTTTCAAAATTTTTTAAATTTTGGAGAAGAAGCTTCCTTTCTAAAAAAAAAAGCGTTCCTTGCTTTCACGCAAGGACCCCTTGCCGGACATGTCGTCGACAGCACAGTGTCGGCAGATCCACGTTTGTAGGCTGCAGACCCGGCAGACGTTTTGGTCAGCCCGGCCTGGTGGTGAGATTTTGGACCCGGGAGTACTAAAAACTGCTCGCATCCCAGGGTGCTCAGTTTCGCTCTATCCGATCGAGTAAGGCTTCCAGAAAGGCCCTCAGGTGCGCGGCCTGCAGTGCCATAATATACCTCACATGAGGCCAGCCGGCCCGGCGCCCAGGCCCGGGCGCCGGCGCCCACGGCCACGCGTTGATTTTCGAGTGCTCTAAAAAAAATTAATTCAAAAAGACTCACGATCACACTCACGATCACAAGACTGTCAAGAGTCGACAGTGCATGCATAATTGCATATGCAGTGCATGCAGTGGCGGCATGGCAATAATTGTAAATCAGTGTTTCTATAAATCAGTGTTTCTTTCACAACAAGTAATAATAGTTGTGTTTGTATTACAGATAGTGAAGCTTGTTGCACTGCACACATTACACGTACCTGTGTGTGTGTTTCCGAGAGCTTACCCAGCTGGCCGCAACAGATTTGTTGTCGAGGAAGAGGAATTCTAGCATCGCTCACGATCGAGAAGAAAACGTTGTAGAATTTTTGCATCGATAACGATCATTTTGATTTGATTTCATTGACTTTTCGGACATTGATATCTGGCGTGTACTATGGAGCAGAATGGAGATTCAGTACTCTGCAGTGCGAACAATCAAGAGTAATCTGGCTATAACTGCCTTTGTATAGACTCGTAGATCGCCCCTGGCTGTGTACGTGTATGCAGAGTTTGAAGATTTCCTGACGTCATGGTTCGGGCACTGAACAGACGAGCACTTCTGCACACCACCTTCTTGCTAGGTGCAACGTCGTTCATTGTTATGGCGTCGTTCATGACAGTTTCGCGGCGCAATTCCTCGCTCTCGCCCTCCCTGCAGGAGGCGAGGCAGGTGATACAAAGAGTAGAAAACGCCTTGCCCTCCGGACCAGCAGCATCCACGGCAGCAGCAGTTGCACCACCGCCGGCAGGGCCAGCAGAAAAGTTAGCAATAAGAGCAACAGCTGTATCGCAGCCTGGACATTCAGCACCAGTACTGCCCTCTTACTCCGTAAACCCTGATGCTGCTGCCGCTGTGACTGCTGCCACAACACACCCAAATAACGTCATCCAGAATGGAGCAGCACCGACGGGCGTTGCCAATGACGACGCCGAGCCACCACTGCCAGTGGAACACCGCGACATGCACAGCGAAAATCACGAGCTCAAGCTGCGCGCCATGAAGCGAATGATCGCGGAGGACCCGATCACCGTGCTGCTGGAGAAACAGGCGGCCGCGCAGAAGCGCTACATCGAAAGCGGCCAGGACCTGACGGAGCGGCCAGACCGTGCCATGCTGGTCCTGTGCATGAAGCAGGTGACGTGCTACGGCCTCGGTGATCGCTTCTTCGGCCTCATGAACAACTATCTGACGGCGGTGATCGGCGGCAAGCCCTTCTTCGTCCTCCACAACAAGCCGGCCGATCTCAACGTTCATATGGTGCCCAACACCATCGACTGGCGTATCGAGTCAGTGAAGCACGAGAGCGTACGCAAGGCGCTCCTGGACGTCAATATTCGCACCTGCGAGCCACCTCGCTGCGCTAACCACGTCATCGAGCTTCCCGGCGTGCCAGGACAGCGGGTGGTCGACGGCGCTAAGCTACCGAACGTCATCGTGTACAGCTGGGGCAACGCTCGCACCGACGTCTTCCACGAGGCCATGTCCATAGCCAAGCTGTTCCCGACGCTGAAGCCCGGTGAGAGGGCGTGGGGCAAGGACGACCTGCAGTTCTGGTCGGCGTACATCAGCGGTCGCCTCTGGAACCACCTGTTCAGCTTCTCCGACGAGCTGAAGAAGTCGGCCGACCAGCTCCTGTCGACAGTGTTCAAGTCGCCGCAGCCGTACAACTTCCAGGATCTGATGCGCTGCACGCCATGTGTGCATGCTCGCACTGGCTCCGGCCTGCACGAGGTCCCTCGCCACTCGAACCGACACGACTTTGTAACGTGCATGAACGCCGTGAACGAGCAAGTGCACTTGTCCAAGGACGCACGCTGCAAGGTGTATCGCGATGGCAACAAGACCAACAACTGGATTATTCTTAGCGACAGCAATCAATTCGTCGATGAGATGACGGAACAGTTGAAGGGTGGCGGGACGATATTCAGCACCAGTGGTTCAGGCCCGTTGGTACACGCAGAAACGATACCGCTGGGCTCAGACAGTGCGGTGCGTGGTTTACGCCGTGCCATGATTGATTTCTATATCCTGTCCCATTGCAGGTGAGTCATACTTGAGAGAGAGAGAGAGAGAGAGAGAGAGAGAGAGAGAGAGAGAGTGTGTGTGAGTGGGTGGGTGTGGGTGTTTATCAATGAACAGTGACGGGCCCCGTGGTAGTGGGGGTCCTGTGCCTGTGCCTATGCTGAATCTCTGAATGTCGTTCAGGCCCTTCTGAGACATCGCGTGACCCTCCACAGCAGTGTGCGTGCGGAGCATATGGGGTGTCGCATGTGTGCGGGCACATGCCTAGCATCTGCCTGCCTGTCAGACTGACGGGTGTGATTAGTTACGCTGTATTGATTATTTTTTTAGCAGCCACACTACATCCCTCATTTGTGTCAATTGTTTTGTGATGGGATTGCACCAGTTACGGTAGATCTTGTTCAGCTCTGCATACCGGCCTCAATTGGCTTTTGTATTCTTCTTCGCCTTTTTTGGGGTTGGTTGCGGTCGGGGGGTGGGGTGCATGCTGTTCCGTTCAGTTCTCAATTGAGTCTCCTGCATGCATGTATCGTATTTGCCTGAGTATAAGCCGCATTTTACAGACCAGTAGTTTACCCTATCAAAAGTCGGCGCGGTTTATACTTGAAGTACTACGATGATCGAATTAAAGGGGAAGTATACCCTAAAATCAAATTTTCACCAGTTGTAGTCTTCTGGGTGCTGAGTCGAATGGTCTTGGTCCGAGGAAGCTGCGACGCTCCCTTCCTACTTGAATCCCAATCGAACTCGCGCACTTCCACCGAAACTGGGTGACTGCGCCCTACTAGATGGGGATTTGTATGCAAAATGTCACTAAAAGCGCCATTTCGTTCTTATAAAAGCACGGATGACCGCGATTGGCCCATATGTTGTAGTCTTTTGGACGCTGAGTCGACTGGTTTTGGTCCGAAAAGGCTGCGATGCAGCGTTCCTCCTTTATTCCCAATCGAACATGGTTGAAGAAGCGGTCACATGCTCCTGGGTGCCCAAATCACCTGGTCACCGCGCCAGCAGGCGACAACTTTCACACCAAGGTTCAACTCGAGTTCAACTCGAGTGACAGGACTGCACCCAAAAAAGGTCAAACAGGCTAGTAAGTTGTACCCTGCAGTAGGCCTAGCCCAAATTTGCCGGCAATTCTTCCAGCAAAATATCGAATTTTCCAACGAAAAGAAATTGCTGGCAAATTCCGAGCAAAATATCGAATTTACAGAGGATCCGGGTGTGTTTTGGCAATTTTATTCAAATTTCTTTGGTTTCATTGGGCCAACGCCGTGCTGAAATAGCTCGTGCAGGTTGTCAGGGGTACATAAATTTGAAAACATGCTACAAAATCAGTAATACTGACATCATTATAAGTTTTGCTTCCTCGACAGAGTCACCATCCACTTTTACCAAAGTAGAAGGTTCATTCGAAGCCATTTTTGCCACAAAGCAGGGGCAAAATGGAGCAAAATATCGGAAACGAAAGGCAATGCCTAGCAATAATTATATGGAAAGTGATCGGGCAAAATTTGCCGGCAAAATTTCGAAGCGCCCCGAGCAAATTTGGGCTAGGCCTACCCTGCAGGCACGGTGACCAGGGCACGTGACCGCTTATTCAACCATGTTCGATTGGGAATAAAGGAGGAACGCTGCATCGCAGCCTTTTCGGACCAAAACCAGTCGACTCAGCGTCCAAAAGACTACAACATATGGGCCAATCGCGGTCATCCGTGCTTTTATAAGAACGAAATGGCGCTTTTAGTGACATTTTGCATACAAATCCCCATCTAGTAGGGCGCAGTCACCCAGTTTCGGTGGAAGTGCGCGAGTTCGATTGGGATTCAAGTAGGAAGTGCGCGAGTTCGATTGGGATTCAAGTAGGAAGGGAGCGTCTCAGCTTGCTCGGACCAAGACCATTCGACTCAGCACCCCGAAGACTACAACTGGTGAAAATTTGATTTTAGGGTATACTTCCCCTTTAACAATGATAAATTGGGTAGATGTCTGTATTGCATGTCAAAAAATCAGGGTAAAGCTTATACTCCGGAAAATATAGCACTCATGTTGAGGAGCATTGCCTAAGGATTCCGGTTTCTCTCTTGTTTTCGCTGACCTGGTGCAGATACCATATTGCGTCACTTAGTACGTTTGATGGAGTTGCTTCAATCGCACACGGACCTGAAGTAAGTATGATTTCACTGGTCGCTGCTTTGCACAATCGCACTGTACACAGTACATAGTCTGTGTTTATGTGTGTATGTGTGTGTGTGTCTGTCTGTCTGTCTGTCTGTCTGTCTGTCTGTCTGTCTGTCTGTCTGTCTGTCTGCCTGTGCATGTGTGTCTGTCTGTGCATGTGTGTCTCTGTCTGTGCGTGTGTCTCAGTCTGTGTGTGTGTCTGTGTTGCTGAAGTTGCTTTGTCTGCTGCTGCTCCTCTTGCTACGGGTCCTAGTAGTACTGCTGGTGTTGCTGTGTTCTGTGTTTCTGCTGTTATTGCTGTTGCTATAACATTTATGCTGTTTTCACTAGGGGTGAAACGAATATACCGAACATTCGAATATTCGTTCGTTAGGCCACAGCGAACGAACATTCGTAGTTCTCACGAACATTCGAACTTTGAGAATGTGCGTACGGTACGATAAACCCGTAAAAACATCGCGATCAGTCACGATCGTTTGACACACCGCCTGTAGAATATGTGTAGCTGCGTGCTTGTGACCAGCGCTGCGCCAGGTGGTACACGACCCGCGCGCGCGCGCGGTTCACGATCTAAACCAGCACTTGGCTGGAGTCGAGGCGACGACATGTAGACGAACATCGGAACAAAGCATGAGTACTCGTACATGTACTTACATATTTTGGCTGCTCGCTCTTCCTTTGACCACTTCGTAATTTTCTTTTGTTTCGAGTTCGCACTGTTCCCATGTCAGAAACTGTTTTCAGTCGTGCTCCTCGTTCTGTTGTTTGGGATCATTTTACCAAATCCGAGGATGAGAAGTCAGCTACCTGCAGGATTTCCCGCAGCGCAAAACGGCGAGCAACCTCTATGCGCAGCTGAAAACACAACTACGGTAACTTTCAGCATTCTTCTGTCGTCTCTGGGAGTGCAGTTATTTCTACGGCATCAACACTGAACAGGAAGCAAGTTGATGACAAACGTTGCTGTGACGCAACGTTCTGGTCCGCAGCAGTAGCAGTATGGCGTTGCTCAGTTGGAGGCCATTGTGCCTCAACTTTTGAAAGCATCATAAAAGACGTACTGTAAAGTTAGAAACTTTCGCAAGTGATTAAATTTCGCTACTTTCGCGGCCATTGCGCATTCTGGAGAAGAAAAATCGCCACCAACTGCTCAGTACGTGCATTGCAGACAGCACAACTACAAGATTCAAAAGAGGTAAAAATCGGAAAAAAATTCTCATCACAAACCAGCTGCATTCATGAAAACGCAATATTTGTGCGCCACAAAGGTTTACTGCAATACTGTATTCAAAAATTCCACTATTTTCTTGCCTATGCCGGTTCGTGCGCGAGCACGCGCGTGCGACGAGAATGTTAGAGAATGTTCGTTCGTTCGTTCGTTAACATCAAGAACGTTCGAATACTCAAATTTTGTGTTCGTTTCAGCCCTAGTTTTCACGTACAAAAAACACAGAAAGACAGGTTCCATTATTGTTATTACATGTATAGGGTTTTCGTGTTGGCATCGCCAAGCAAGCTTGGCTAGCCTTCGCGTAAGCTGCTCCATGGTGGCATGAAAGGTTCCAGGCTGTCCGAAAGAGTACTCAATGCCCAAATGGCAAAGCTACTTACAATAAGTATTTCAACTGAATGATGCGTGGTGCTCTGTGACGTGTGTACAAGAAGTAATAATACAAATTCACGATGGACGTGAGACCCGGCTAGAGGCCAAGTTTTTCGCATCCGTAGGAAAGCCGCCACCCTCAAGGATCAAGGCGCAGATGCAACTCCTAAAGCGATGCGAAGCGGTCGTTCGGTCTTTGTAAGAAGTATGGGATTATTCGTTTAACTCCAAGTGTTTAACTGTGTGTGTGTGTGTGTGTGTGTGTGTCTGTGTGTGTCTGTGTGTGTGTGTGTGTGTGTGTGTGTGTGTGTGTGTGTGTGTGTGTGTGTGTGTGTGTGTGTGTGTGTGTGTGTGTGTGTGTGTGTGTGTGTGTGTGTGTGTGTGTGTGTGTGTGTGTGTGTGTGTATCTGTGCGTGTGTGTGTGTGTGTGTGTGTGTGTGTATGTTCATGTATGTGCGTGCGTGCATGTGGGTTTGTCTTCATGTATGTGTGTGGTTGCATGTGGGTTTGTGTTCTAGGTGCGTCGGTATGACATGGAGATCACGCGGCCTTGTGAGAAGAAACCGAACAACATTGGTGTTTGGCAGCGGGATGTACATGCCAAACCTCGGTTTCACTGACCAGGATAACTCAGTGTGTCCACCGTGGATATAACTGTTACATGCCAGGCTTCAAGTTCACTGAGCCGTTCACCTGAGTAGGTCTACTGGGGGTGCGTTCTTAGCCTCGATTTCACTGAACGCTACAACTGAGTATGTCCACAGTGGATTTGCATGCCACACCATTGGTTCACTGACTGCGACAACTGAGTGTTTCCACTGTGGATTTGCATGCCAAGCCATCGGTTCACTGAACGCGGCAATTGAGTGTTTCCACTGTGGATTTGCATGCCAAGCCATCGGTTCACTGACTGCGACAATTGAGTATGCTGACGGTGCATGTACATACCAAGGCGCAAGTTCACTGAACGGGACCGATGAGTATGTCCCCTGTCACCGCTAGCTCCGCTGCTGCCACCTGTCTATGCTTACGTGTACAGATGATCAACAGTCGTGTAACGCAACGGTTACGCACCCAGTATCACCGCATCCACTGCTACCTGCTAGAGATACTGTGCTCTGCCAGCCGTGAGCCACCCCTGCAGGCTGTTCATGCTGCAGTGGTCTTCTGAGACGACGGCCCGGCTTCAGAATAGAGCATGGGGCAGCTGTGCTGAGTATGAGTACTACCGTGACAGTCGTTATGGTCTAAGATCGTCGTTTCCGGTACTAGTGCGTGTGCATGCCCTCGTCTCGCCGTTTTATTACTGTTCTGGGCCTGTGGCTGGGTACCATCAGCCAACGTCGCTGGACGCCATTCGGCTTGCCTGGGCGTCCAGTCCAGCTCTGCAACTGCCCTGGGCTTTGCGAGTGTTTTGGAGCCGGAACTGCTGTCATCGTTTGTGTGTGTGTGTGTGTACCACCGGAGAGTGATAAAATCACGACTCTATAGGTAAACTTGGTACAAGTGGTGCAACTCGGGGTAAATATCCGGATGTCAGCACCCACGTGCTGCGCAATTGAGCTGGTCTCCGTGCGAATTGCTCTCGTGTTTTCGTCCGCTCGTTTGTGCACATGCTTCTGTCCTCACGTGGCATTGCCGAGTACACGCAGCAGATAGCCGTCAAGATCACGCAGTCAGCCGCGTATCTTGGCACGGAACTTATTCGTTTGGTTAGCGCTCGTGTTTGTGTTCTCACGTCCAGTTTGAAACCGGGAATAAGCCGTTGCAGCTTGTCCATAGCGTTGGAAGTACTCGCATTGCATGTGTCTGTTGTCTTAATTGTTGGAACAGCCGATTCCATGTCGCATTGCCAGTGTAATCCGAACCTTGATTATTTATTGAGCATGCCGTAGGATGCCTCACGCAGCTTCATAAGTAGAACGGGTTGTGAGCAACATTGGCTCACGCTCGTGCCGTTTATATTATTTATCCCAAAGCAAACCCCGCTGATAATATGGACGCTTTGATTCTGAATGATTGCATACTTCTGAGTTGGAATTTATCCGTAAAGACTTCGCTATAGGCACCCACTGTGCAGTATCACTACTGAAAGTATCACTGTTCTACTCTGTTACCTACCACTGCTACACTTGCTTCCGCTGCTGGATCAAATGATGCTGTTGAATGACAAGTTGCTATCACTTTACCTTGCTATTAAATTTTACTTTCTATCCTGCTATTTATGCTATTCGTTACTTTTTCTCTGGACTCGTCCGCTCTCCCTTCAACGCCCGGTTGCTGCGCTTGGAGATGGAAAGGAGCTAGCTGTTACTCTGGTGTGGGTGTGGGTGCACGCACGTGGGTGTTGGTGGGTGGGTAGGTGCGTGTGTGTGTTTGTGTGAGCTGTGTAGTTGGTTGTGGTTGTGGGTGAGTGTATGTGCGTGTGTGTGTGTTTGTGTCCCTTTAAAACCTCTCCTGGAGAAACCCACATGATCAGTTCCTGGTAGTGAGCATGCAAGTACAAGCAAGAGTACATAACCAAGAGTGTGCAACTCCAATCTCGAGCTGTGATGGGTTCACCCGCGGCCGAGTTTTTTTATTGCGTCATTCTTTGGCAGTAGTATGATGGCGTGTGTATGTTTTCCCGCGCTTGTTTTGTAGATACGGTGAGGGTTCAACAAGTTCAAGACACATCCATCTATTGTCCGTTGTTCTGCTTTGACTACCGTAGCTGTGAAGTAACACGTTCTTTGTACACATGGACTTTGATCTCGGGCTACGCATGATGGCATCCGTGAGCCAAACAGCCACCAAAGACTGATGTCATAACAACATTTCCACCATGGGCTGGGGCGTCGTCGTTATGTTCTCTTGGTAAAAGTGGTTGCGTGTGTGTGTGTGTGTGCATGCGCGCGGGTGTGTGTGTGTGTGTGTGTGTGTCGACTCCTTTATTTGGAGTCATGCAGATTAATAGTTGTGAACATGGTCTCGTGAAGCATCGACCGCCAATGATGTAGAACTTTCAAGTCCGTTGTTGAAACGCACTTAATCTCGCCAAGAGCCCATAACCCAAAGAGTGTGCAGATCTGACCTCAAAGCTACAGTATGGTGTGCTCTCCACGGCGCGCTATACATTCAGTACAGCCATAAGGAAAGTATACGATACAATTGCCTGGATTAGGCTTTTGCTAGGGTTTAGCCGAAATGATTTAGCGCACGATTTGGTAGATTCAAAGGCGATGCTGCGTGCCTGTGCGAGACGCATCATGTACAACACTTTTCTCCACAGTAGGAAACATGACCTTTTTGGTGACCGAAAAGTTGGTCCGGTGATAACCTGACCAACCGGTTCCGGTGGGCCTGGCAGATCATTAATGGCGCAATAGCCCAGCTGTTGGTGGCTATGTAATGTATGCAGCGCGCCATGCCTAAGACAGTAATAATAAATTATCCCATATGCAGATTTGAGATTCCGGATCTCGGGGCGATCTTCTCTTGATTTCGGGTATGACCAATAGTCAGTCCATGGGGTTATGGACTCTTGTCATGATATTATTTCGGTCCGTCCCCATGCCATACCTGCCAACCTGAGATCCTGAGAACCTGGGCCTATTACACTGAACCCTTGATATCGGGACTGTCCCGGCCAGTGCATGCACTGCCTCACCACTTGCCTCTTCACAATTACACCCCACAATGCAAGCATTAATTGTTCGCCTAACAAAATGCATCACTCGGGTAAAGTACTCGTCTCCACGTCGCGTACTCAGTTCACTCGCCCTAAAAGTTAGCAACAGATAAGATAAAGTTAGCAACATAAATTTTCCATTCCGCAAAGGCGAAACTAGAATATAGAAAGATGCTCTCGCACAGCACATGGCTGTGTGGCCATGGCACAGTAGGGCCAATCAATAATTTGGAAAATGTCGGGACGGCAGCATAGGGGATAGCAAGGGGTGGCAATACCGCTCTTGGCTGAGCACAAAGACAGCAGCACGCTGATCTTGATACTGGCCTGACAAAAAGAGCAATTTGCAAGGAAAGGGGTGCTGATACGAGAACATGGGAATGAGAAAGGCAAAAAAATTAAAGGCACGGTGCTAAACAAGACTGAGATTAAAGCAATGGTGTGTATGTGTGTGTGGGGGGGGGGGGGAGAGAGAAGGGCCAGGGAAGGTGTGGAGGAATTGATAGTGCTACAAGTCGTCTGCGTAGCGCATAGCAGGTATGTGCCGAGCAGACGGCCGGATTTTCCACTCAAATTCATTGAAAATAACTGATCATACACAAAGAGTCAAGGAGAGAGCTTGGAGGGGATTTGAAGATCACATGATGAAGATAAAAACGTGCTATGTTGGAGATTGATAGGGCAGAGGAGGCAGAATGCCGTGGCTCAAACTTGCCCAGCCGCATCAGTGTGCCACTGCTCTGCTTGTGGCAAAAGTAAACTTTCCTACTCGCAAAATATAATTCTGCGAAATCAGTTAAATATATACATCTATAATACCATGGAACTAACCGTGAAAGGAGCAATAGTGCAACATACGAGGTGAAACGATAGCTTATCACTTGCATTGTCACTCCCTCAGCCGGTCAGAAAGGACTAGAGACACATCCATTTATGTACTGGCCTAAAATTTGTGGGAGGGACACCAAACACGAGCGTGTGTGTGTGTGTGTGCGCGCGCGCGCGCGCAAGTGCAAGTGTGTGTGAGCGTGTGTGTGTGTGTGTGTGTGTGTGTGTGTATGTATGTGTGTGTATGTGTGCGTGGATGCAATGTGTGTGCATGTGTAATCCATAGAACACACCATTGCACCAGGCCCTCATGCCTTGGATCAAACTGATGCCGTCTCCCCATGCAGTCGAGAAGCATTCGCCAGACTTCGCTTTACACCAGCTCCTGGTCCAGCAGGAGTAAGGGAGGAAGGGGAGGAGAGGAAGAAAGCCAGGGTCCACTTCAGCACTAGATTCACTTCTTTTTCTTTGACGGTGCGTCTTGTTGACTACCTGTTCTGAACTTGAGGCTGCCAATGCCCAGAGAGAGGCGACGCTTGTTCTTCTTGTCCACGGAAGAGTATGTGGCACCTTTCTTCGAGGCTGACTTGCACGGCACCGAGTACTCATCCTCAGTACTGCTTATTGATGCCTTCCGCGCCGGCACCAATGACACCTTGCCTGTGTTAATGCCCAAATCGTCAGGGCAATTGTACATGTCTTCCTCCTCGCCTGCGCCTGTTTGTCCAGCAAACAGCATGCTGGGTGCTTCGTAGTCCTCCTGAATGCCCCCCATGGCCGAGTTGACGCTCTGCTGCGACGAAGTCGTTGCGGACCGCGTTGCCCGGTTCGTGACGAGCATACTCGCGTCCATTGGGCAGTTGTACAGGTCTTCGCCCATGCTTGTTTCAGTCATAGGAGCCGACTTCGAGAATGGCAGGGGGCTGGTCGTCTGCGGCGATGCTGAGTCCTTGTTGAGATGGATCGGTATGTTTACCGGATTAGAATAAACGTCGGCTTGAGTATCGAGTAAAGTATGGAGCAGTGGATTCTGTTCTGTTGACTTGGGCAGGTCAGTACAGTCTTCGGGAACTTTATAGTCTTCTTCTTCCCCCGCCGAGTTTGCAGCCGTAGTAGCCGCAGACGTGACAGTGCTGATTTGTATATTAGCCGGATCTGAATAGTTTTCCTCGCACATGGAAAGCATTGCCGCCGATACAGCCGATGCGTGGCTTCCTTCGCGATTCGCCACCATTGATTCGCTAGAGGCGCTGGCACTGTTGTTGTCTAGTGGATCATTGTAGATATCACCAGCATCTTCATGGGGCGTGCCGGGCGCAGTCAAACCCACTGTAATATGGTTGCTGCGCGCAGTGCTTGACAAAGTATTTGAGCCACAATCACCTGGCATTTTATAATCGTCCTCCTCTGCCGCCGGTTGTATCACAGGGGATGTTCTGCTGGACATTTCTCTACCGTGGAATCTGATATTCACAGGGCTTGAGTAATCCTCCTCGCCTGCTGCAAAAATGGCCGATACCGCACTCAGGTCACAACGTGGCGCCGCCTTTGGGCCAACGTCCAAAGGATCCCTGTAAACGTCGTCAGTTTCGCATGGCCGCCCTCGGACCAGCGCTGGCGTTTTCATCGGTCCGCTCTTGTTGCGTGCAGGACTAGTATCTTGACGTGTTGCTGTCGCACCCAGTGGCATATTGTACGTGTCATCCTGCTGAACACTGATCTGGCAGCCTTCAATATCGCCGTAGACATCTAGATCATGGGAGGCGACTGGAACGGTACGTGCACTGGCATTGTTTAGAGCAGGGGATTTGATCGGTGGCTGGGGTTGACACTCAATGTCTCCGTATATATCCGAGTCGTTCGAGCACGCTTGTATGGCTCCCACACTAGGGCTACTCACCACGAGAGGCTTAGCAGGTTCGGATGCAGAAAAGGTCTGCTGGACAGTTTCAATGTCGCCGTATATATCCGCGTCATCTACCGGGACGGGGGATGGCGATGCGCCAGTGCGAGCACTGCCCAGAGTGGGCGACTTGGCGGACTCCTCTGCTGCACTTCTCGCTGCTGCTGCAGCGAAGCCGAGCTGGTAGCTTTCAATGTCACCGTACAGTTCACAGTCATCCTCCGGGGCCTGCCCTGGGCCGACACTGGTACCAGTGGAAACAGTGGACATAACAGTCTCCTTTCTGGCCATGGCCTGGAAGCATTCAATGTCTCCGTACAAGTCCTGATCATCATCCGATGCCACGAGTGGCGCAGTTGTGCTGACGCTGCCCATGCCACCGGGCATAGCTAGCAATTCCCGCGTCCCTCCGCCAGTAACTGTTAAGCTTGTGGGGACGATAGCAGCAGCCTTCTTACCTCCAGGTTGCGTCAGCTGGCGCTTTGCAGGAAGTGAAGGGCAGTCCGCTGGTATGCCATATTCGTCTTCATCAGGATGTGGTTGACCTGTACCGATGGTCCGTGCTTTCATCGGAGCAACAGGTGAGGCAATCCGGATATCCGCTGGGTTCGTGTAGTTTTCGCTGATGAAAGAAGTGGTGGGGGCAGCTGGTTGCTTGAAGTGTCCGCTGCGTGCAGTTGCTACCAGTCCACCGCGCTGACCATCGGACTTTCCTACGCGGTCTTGTCTGTTGGGGGACGGAGCCGCGGAGGGACTTCGTGAATGCAGTTCTGCGTCACCTCCACCGTGTCCGAATGAACAGGTGCTGCCTGGTGAGCTAGCAAGGTCGATAGCGGAGAACTCGTGCGGAATGGAGAACTTCTTGCCTTTCCCCAGCGACACGATGCGCTCCTTTGATATGCTTGCTGGACTGGACGTGCCGTCCGCACGCAGAGTATCTGCCCCGACGGAAAACGACGATGTGGGCGTGCGAAGTGTCGGACCCTGCACCGACTGATCACCGTCTACGTGTATCACCAGTCGACTAGCGTCGCGCAACACCGCCATCCTGGCCAGCCATTCCTGCTGCTCGTCCATATCCTCCGAGGAGACAATGCTGCAGGCATTGCCGTACAGACTATCCCGGCGGCTGTGCATGTCAGGAGAAGTGCATGTCGGGAGCTTCGAGTGCCGCATCTCGGCCTCCGGAGTCGACATACGCTTGTTACTGCCATACCCGGTCAGTACGGCCGCGCTCTGCGTTCCCATTAGTTGAGCATGCGTGCTGCCTGAATTTAGCATGGGTTCCGAGGGAGACGCCCTACTGCTAGGATCCATGCTAGTTGTGCCGCTGTTCAGCGCCCAGTTAGAGTAGGCCGTGGGCCGACCGCTAGCTGCATCGTAACCAGCAGTGCCATCGGCCATCATGCTGAATGCACCCGGGGTCTTGGCCATCTGGCCCGGCAATAACATGCCGCCTCCCCCGTCCACCGGAACCGAGCTACTGTAGTGTAGAAGGACCGGTTGAGAGAGATACGTCAGCTGTACAACAACACACACACACAGAAGCCAATACACATGGGTTCAGCATGGGTCGGCGGGCAAGCCCACGTTGATACATGCATGCGTGCGGGCGGGCGCATGCCCACACACACAGACGAACACACACAGGCGAACACACACAGACACACACCACTGTGCGTGCAAGTGGATGTTCACACACACATACACACACACACATACACACACACACACACACACACACACACACACACACACACACACACACACACACACACACACGTACTTTTACACTTACACATACACACACGTACACTTACATTACACACACACACATACCGACGGGTCCAACACACAAGCACGCACTCACAATTCCACACCCACGCCCACGCCCACACCCATACCCACATTCACACCCATACATCCACAGCTACACCCACACAACCACACTCACACACCCACATCCCCACTCACACATCCACACACACACCTACACCCACACTCACACATCCACACCCACACTCCCCCCCCCCCCCCACCACCCCTCCCCCCCCCCCCACTCACATACACACAAAAGCATACAAGCTATACCGTACAGGGTGCATCCAGAACATGGAAATACCCCCGCAACTAACCGTGTTTTGTTGACCTTGGCGCGTGATTTGCAGCTCAGCAGTGGGCTGTCCAGCTGCTACATGCGACTTCTTCAGCTCATCATCGTCATCTGGCCGCTGACTGGATGTGAAGCTACTAGCGTCGTCGGAGCCCAGGCTTCCCCGCGAGGACGGATAGTGTGCCTGGACCTCCTGCGAGGGCAGCATGATCTGTGTGAGCTGCGTTTCCAGATTGGTCGACTCACGGCGGGATACGGATTGCTGCAAATACAAAAAGATCAAGAACAGTGCAACTTGAAACTCGGATGTTGAGCCAATAACATAATAAATGTCTTGAAAGGGAAGGGACATCTGGATAGGAGTCTTATGTTAAGACTAACAGTACATACTGGATTTGATACTGTAAGGCATGTTATTATAACGAGTCGCAAATTTAACGATTATCCAAAATTCATAGGTTAACGGGACGATATGTTAACGATCTTGCAGTATTCATATCCACACACAACATATATGAAGCATTACAGCCTCAACGAATCTTATTATAACGAAGATATATCATCCGTTAAAACGTTAGATTTACTTCCTCGTTATATATACATGTCTTACAGTATGTCATATACATGAACATTGAGCTGAATTTTAGCCATACGTGTCACACTGACCAAGGCTATATTTTCGTTGTTACTAAGAATCACATGGCTATTCGGCCAGCCTTCAACACTTGGCTATGCCCTTGCGCTATGGAGCAGTTCTCAATAAACAAGCAGCTGAGCTTGTGAAGCCCTCTGCCATAGATATCTCGCCCTCAGACAGCTGGTAAAATGTTGTTGAGTTGCAAAATATTAGCTTACCCTGGAGTAGGCTGATATGAGTGCGGTTCGACCTGACAAGAAGGAAGAAGAAAAGAGCAAAGAGCTGTATGTAGAAGTTGTGACTTAAGACACTGCCTAACAGTAAAAGAGGATTGATTCAGGTTATGCTTATATCTCCGTGTGTGCCACATGTTATGGAAGTGTAGAGTTATCGCGTGCCACTTGTACTGATTGCTATACATTGCGAGCTTCTGCAATGGGTCTAAGAGTCAAAAACTTCCAAAAATTGCCAATGACAGTGGATAGTCCAGTCAAGGACCTAGTGCCTAGTCCTGACCTGTGTGTCTAGTCCTGACCTAGTACCTAGTCCTGACCTAGTGCCTAGTCCTGACCTAGTGCCTAGTCCTGACCTAGTCCCTAGTCCTGACCTAGTCCCTAGTCCTGACCTAGTCCC